TAGGCTTGCCTTCAGAGGCTCTGCCTCTGGCTGCTCCTCTGATGGTGGAGAGAAGAGCAGTTGGTGCTAGGCTTGCCTCCAGAGGCTTTGCCTCTGACTCCTTCTCTGATGATGGAGAAAGCTTCAGAGAAAGGCCATGGCAAACCCTCTATGAACAAATCCTGCCAAGAAAACCCCACAATGAGTTCCCTTGTTGTTTTTGTGTGCCTTTAAGTCATTTCCAATTTGTGGTGACCCTAAGGGAGATCTATCATGGGGTTTTCTTGTCAAGATTTGTTTACAGGAGGTTTGCCATTGCCTAAGGCTGAGAGAGTGTGGCATTCTTAAGGTCAACCAGTGGGTTTCATGGCCAAACCCAAGGAATCAAACCCTCATCTCCAGAGTCCTAGTCCACTTCACCCTTAGAGTCTCCATAAGTTGGAAGTGACTAGAAGGCACACAACAAGAAGTATGAATAAGCCTATATCCAATCCTTTATTTTTGGCACCAACTTTTACATTTTTAAAAAAAAAAAAAAGATATTGTGTTGTTCATTACATGACCCTGAAACTTTAGTAATTGTATTTTTTTATAGAACCATGCAGCCAAAAATGGCCCTGTGACAATGTGACAAACTGAGATTCTTCAGGTGATAAGAGCAGAAACAAAGGACAACTTTGTAACAACTTGTTATCCACATCCAATGTATTTTAAAGAATTGAATGGTGAAGATGGACTTCCAACTAATCAATGGGATTTTTGGCATATAATTAGAATATTGTAGAAATAGAGCAACTAGTAGTAGATATTACATATTGCTGGATAGCATGGATGGATGGATGGAGTGCCAACGTGGCATAGTGGTTTGAGTGTTGGACTATGACTTTGGAGACCAGGGTTTGAATCCCTGCGTGGCTATGAAATCCCACTGAGTGACCTTGGGCAAGTCATACTCTCTCAGCCTCAGAAGATGGCAATGGCAAACCTCCTCTGTAAAAACCTTGCCAAAGAAACCCCAAGATAGGTTTGCCTTAGGGTTGCCATAAGTCAGTAATGATCTGAAGGCACACAACAACAGCAAGAACAACAACTGGATATATAGTTATATTATTTATAGGTAATTTGATTTGTGTGACTGTATTTAACATATTGTTATAATTATACTGTCAATGGGAGAAATATTTTTAAAAACCAATCCTCCTCCCAAGAAGAACAACCTAAGGGAAGATCAGAGTGACTGCCATTCTTCCTACCCTCATTCTGAACAGGCAAACATTTCAACCCCTGCCCACAGCCCTTCTAAAAATTAAGAGCCTGAAAGAAGTGAGTTGGTCATACTGAATGAGGGATTTTGGATGCTGTAATCCTACAAATAACTTTCCTAATCTCATATGTCAAGCAAGCATTTTCTCTGGAGAAATCTCTGGCATAGACAGCAGCTGAAAAAGGTCATGCTTTGCATTAAGATACTGTAAGCAGATGTTGATAATAAAACATTGTGTTGCATGCACTCAGATTGCATGCTAAAAAGTTAGGGACTCAGACAATGTGTGCGAACAGGATTTGGATCCCCTCCCTCTCTCACACACACACAACTTGAAAAAGAAATAGTGCTCCAATGGAACATGGTGGAGGTTGCAGGATTGCTTAGGAAAGTTAGTTTTTGGACTACACTTGCAGGAATCCCCAATCCTGGAAGGACAGTTTGCAGAAGTATTATATATAGCCAGAGACACCACAAATAAACTAGTTTTGCAGCCATGCAGACAAACAGTGAGCATACTTTTTAACTGTTTTATTTCTTTTTATGTGGACCAATACCACACAGGTTCTCTGGGATTGAGAGACCTGCCACACTGCAGAAATAAAACAGTTTAACCCCACTTTAACTGTCATGGCTCCCTCCTGTGGAATTTTAGAATTTGCAGTTTGGTCTTTCAGAGACCTCTGGTACCTCATCAAACCACACATCCCAGGATTCTGTAGGATAGAGGCATGACAGTTGTAACTCGTTTATTTCTACAGTGTGAAATAAATAAGTGGTATGCACCTTCTTTATTTCTACAGTGTGAAAACAGCCTGAGAATTGCCAAATGAATTAAATTTATTCATCTCTGATTATCCAGAAATGCAAAACTACTTTGTGGAACCAACTACTTAAAAAGTAGGTTTAAATGGTTCTGGTTTGAATGGAAATAGAAATACTAGGATCATTACAAAGAGCCACCCATAGATGGATTTTACTTTGAAGAGCACAAAACAAAACAAATGTTTGTGGGGTTTGTTTGTTTGTTTGTTTGTTTTGTGTGTTTTCACCAAGTTCCTCCTATTGACTAATAACCTAAGATCTAAACAGAAGGGGGCAGCATTGAGTCAAGAACTTTACTAGGGATGGTCCATGGTAGAATGAAGGTCAAGAGGGAAAATTCTTTATACTGAGGCATTCAGTCTGTTTAGCTTGGTTTTTAAATCAGATGCTTGCTTTATAAGCAAGAAAATAGTTGGATAAGACAGTGGCACTCCACATATAATGTTTGTAACCTGCCAGCTGTTGCATCCTTCAAGTCTTTAACTGTAGAAACAGTCAAGAGAGTTGAGAACTGCGACCTCAGAGATCATGGAAAACATGACAAAGATACACACAGTCACTGTGGCAAAACCCAGTTACTATTTCAGGGTGTTTCCACATTTCACAATTATAGCAATTTCAAGCCATTTTAACTGCCATGCCTCCATATTATGGATTCATGGGATTTGTAGTTTGGTGAGGTACTCAGAATTTTTTAGTATACTTTCTTGAACAGTGTCTTTAGGGTTCTATGGCAGACAGGTCTAAGTACCAGTGCAATGCTGGACTGTATCAACAGGAGTTTAGTGTCCAGATAGAGAGAAGTACTATTGTTTGTTGTTGTTAACTGCCCTTGAGTTGACTTCGACTCATGGCAACCTTGTAGATGAGACACCTCCAAAACCCTCTGTCCTCCATTGCCCTGCTTTTATAGATTCATGCTTTTGTCCTCCCTAATTGAATCTATCCATCTGACATGGGGTCTTCCTCTCTTTCTACTACCCTCAACTTTTCCTAGCATTATTGTCTTTTCCAATGAGTCCTGCCTTCTCATGAGGTGGCCAGAGTATGATAGCCTCAATTTGATCATGTTGGCTTCTAGGTATATTTCAGGCTTGATCTGTTCATGGACCCTTTTGTTTGTCTAAGTACTAGCACCAATCTGTTCTGCTTTGGTCAGACAGACCTCACCTGGAATACAATGTCCTTTTTCTGGCCACCACAATTCAAGAAGGATATTGACAAGTTGGAACACATGCAGAGAATGGCCATCAAGATGACCAAATGTCTAGAAACCAAGCTTTATGAGGAACAACTAAGGAGTATGTCTCGCTTGGAAAAGAGAAGACTGAGAGGTGACATGATAGCCATCTTTAAATATCTAAAGGAATGTCATGTAGAAGGTGGAGCAAGCTTGTTTTCTGCTGCCCCAGAGACTACATGAACCAGTGGGTTGAAATTATCGGAAAAAGTTTCCTCCTAAACATCAGATAGCTCTTGACTGTAAGTGTTGTTCAAGAGTGAAATGAAGAACCTCAGATGGTGGTGGATTCTCCTTAAACAGAGGGTGGATAGCCATCTTCCAGGACTGCTTTGGGGGGGAAACCGACTAGAAAATGTGGCATCTTCCCAATGGCTTGGGGGCATGGTGCATGCACCATGCATGCTGCCAAAATGCCAGGAACATGGTGTGAAGCCATTCCACTGCACACATGGTGGCAGTTTTTTGGTGCTGCAGCGGCATAGCATTTAGACGTCGCACACCTCAGGGACACCAAAAAAACACTGCCATAATGGTGAAGGCACCTTTTCCCCAGCACAAAAAGGAGCAGCTTTTTGCACTGGAAAAACACTGGGTTGGGGGAATGGTGTGGGGTTGCTGTGGCACCACTGCATGTGGCATTTTTTGGCCATTTGTTTCAGCCCTTAGTTGCATGGCAAAGGGTTGGATTAGATGGTGCATGTGGTCCCTTTCAACTCTAAGATTCTTCCTGAAAACCTACAAAAAACAGGATTCCAGAGGATGAAATTCTAGCAGTTAGTGGTATCAAAGCACTATAATTCTGTATCCCCTTAGTGAGTTGTCTTGGGGGCTGTACAGATGGCTCCTAAGGGGTGGCAGGACGCCGCCCCTTTCCTTGCCGGATTGGGGCAGTGGCAACCACATGCCACGGCCCTGAGCAGCTTTCTGCCACTTCTTCAGTGCAGCGCGTGTAAATGCTGCACTGAAGACATACCCTTTTGCCACCTGCTATGCAGTTGCTTGGGCAGCATGAGGATGATGTGGGGGTGGGGGTGGGGTGTCCAGTTTGTGGTCGCCATGTCCCAACTTCTCCCCTAGGCTGGCCCTTTTGGCTGGTCTGTACAGGCCCTTAGTTAGCCCTTCCTCCAATACTGGACTCAGATGATGGGTACCTAGACAAAACAGAGCTCAAGACAAACAAAGCAGAGATAAGAATAATGGGTATTGCACTATAACAGCAAACTATTTGTATCTTTAAAATCAGAAAAAAATCTGGTCTAGTAAGGGAAAA